CACGAGGCTGGAGCTGCACGGAAGAGGAGGCGTCCGCGGGCCTGGGTCCATTGCTCTGGTCGCGTCCCCAGCCGGCACGTCGCCGAGGACGCCCGCGAGGCCGGAGCGGCGCGCCGTGGGCCTCTGATCCCCGACGGCGCCGTGAACTGAGCGCGGTCGGGAGCCGAGCTCTCGGGATGCGGAGGCGCGCCCTGGCCCCTGCTTGAATTTTTGGAAAGACCTCACCTTGACTTCTGGGTAGAGCGGCTCGGCGGGACCCGAAGTCCCTGATCCGTCCATCCCGGGCGAAGCGCGCCACTGTAGCCCGCACGTGACCACCTCGAGCAAGATGGCATTAGCAGAGAGGCAGCGGCGCGGCAGGTCCCCAATGGGCGCGTGCCGCTGCCGAAAGGGCTGCGCCCGCCGCCCGACCACATCGGGAATCCGGCGTGTCCTCCTGAGACCTAGCAGGGGGGCTAGTGCTTCCTAGCTCTCTACCAAATGCGACTCAAGCACCTCGGCTTACCTGATGTCCAGGCTTGATCTGAAGGCACAGGGTGACCTAAGATCTCCAGAGATCAGCCTCGAATTCGGAGGTGCCCACGGGCAGTTCGGTTCGGTGACTCAACCCTTCCTCTGCAAGCACTGGTGTCAGTAGGAAGTACACACACCTGCTCCAGAAAGTTCCCTCAGAAGGGAAACCCATCACTCGTAGGACCCGGGAGTGCAGCCCTAGATGGTCAGTCAGGGCTTCTGCCTTTGAGCGAAGAGGCGCCCACACTGACACGCACCCCACACACAATGTCTAGAGTTTTACACTAGACATCATTCTGGTTTTGACAACCTTAGGAAATACCCACATTACAAAATCCAGATTGTTTTTTTTGTAAGTACTACTGAAAAGACAAGGTAACAAGAAAAGAATGTAAAAAGAATATCCGTTTCTACACAATTGGACGTTCCCAAACAAAACCTTCTGCATAGATACTTCTGCATGCTTGCAAGCACACATTTTCTTTTATTTTCTACTTTCACTAATATGTTTTGTTTGCATGATCATTTTTTAAGGTATGCAGTTCCTGCATTTTGATGTTTTATTTCGTTGCGATTATCTGCTTGCATATCCTTGAGTTCTACACGTGGGGATTAATTTCTAGGAGTGGGGAAGTTTTCAGGTGGGAAGCTGTGAATGGCCCTGTATTGCTCCACTTGTTCTCATCAGCCAGGAACAGCATAAGGGATTTAATGCACGTTTCTAAACACTGAGCGACAGCTTTTCTCCCCTACATTAATAATGCCTATATTAATAATCTTCAGCTATCAAGATTACCTTATTTGACATTTCTTGGATAACTAAACACTCAAAATGTCCCTATTGCTCTCTGTATTTCCCCTTCTGTGAATGACCTGTGGTTCATATCCTTTGTCTTGGGGAGCTAAATCTCTTCTAACTTTACACAAGCCTTTTTTTCTGTTAAAGATGTTTCACTTCTGTTTATGATGCAAATATTGCCCAGCCTGATGTTCCTTTTCGTTTTAGTTTACAGTTCATTTGTCATTCTAGTCCTCTGGTGGTTGCTGTTTTTGTTTGGTTGTTTGGATGCTAACAGTGAGCTTTTATGTAACCCATCTGCTAGCTTGTATAATTTATTTGAATGTTTTGTTATTTTATGATCACCTGTCCAATTTTATTTTTGCTGTATTTGGGAGTAAAATGTGGATTTAATTCACCTCTATCACAATGGTTATTGTTTGTGCAGTCTCCACTTATTAAATAATTATCATCTTGTTCTTTGCTTAGCAAAACCTACTTGTTTGCTACACTTTTGCTTTCGGCTTGTGTATGTCAGAATCCTCCATTTCCTCCCATACACCTTGGTTTCAGTAAATACTAGATAGTTATAAATATTGGTTCTTTGAAATAAGTTTTTACATCTAACGGGAGTCAGTTCTTTTTGAATAGCACTGGTTTGCCTGCCCATCCATATTCGAGGGTAATTAGATAAGGGTTAAGAGCATTACTCTTGAGGGCCAGAGAGGTGGCTCACAGCTAACAGTGCATATTGCCCCTGCAGGAGACCCACAGTTCAGTTCCCAGCTGCCTGTGCCAGTTTATCCTGTGCCTTAGCACTCACACTCGTGCCCACACGGAGACACATAATTACAAGTAAAATAAATCTAAAAAGAAGAAAACATGAGCTTGGAGGATAAACCAGGTTCAACACTGAGCAGCCCTGTGACCTTGGCAAGTTAAGGCCCCGGGTCTTACAGTTTGGGTCTGTAAATGGGGATCAAGTAACACAACCTCACAAGCTCAATGGTTGGCACTCAGTAAATCCTTAGTGTTGGCTACTGCTGGCAATCACGTTTTCTGTTCCAGAGAAGCCTATGTAAGTGTGAAAATGTAGCAATGAAACCCATTTCTTTGTACTCTAATAATAATGATGATGATGATAGCTAAAGGTATCGATGCTAAGGTTGGAGCTGGGAGTGGTGGTATATGACCTGTAGGCCCGGCACCTGGGAGGCTCCAGAAAAGTAGTCCAATCCCGATGGCACAGACCTTTAATCCTAGAACTCAGGAGGCAAAGACAGGCAGATCTCTGTTCATTCAAAACCAGGCTGGTCTATATAGCAAGTTCCAGATCAGCCAGTGCTAACTATATAGAGAGGCCCTGTCTCCATACACACACACACAAACACACACATACACAGAGTTGCGCTGACATGGAGTTATATTAATCTTGGAACTTACTTCTTTTGTTTGTTTGTTTGTTTGTTTTTGTTTTTGGAGACAGGGTGTATCTCTAGCTGTTCTGGAACTCACTCTGTAGACCAGGCTGGCCTCAAACGCAAAGATCCACCTGCCTTTGCCTCCCTAAGTGCTGGGGTTAAAGGTATACACCACTACCACCTGGCTGAACTTATTTCAACAGATCAAATACTCTATAACATTTCATTTTTCTAACCAGGACCTACTTGGGCTTTTAATGTAATCAAATCCTCAGAAGCCAAGTCCCTTGCTGCCTCCAGTATTTCTCCACTGCTCACGTGGTGACCCCTAATGAAGAAGGGCAAGGGGCCACAAGGCACTGCTGAAATTTCCATCTGAACACTTGTCTTGTGTTGCACCTGTGTGGACGTGGGTGCATACCCTTTCCAAGGTCCCTCCAGAAAGGCCATGAGTGCTTTTCCTAGCACAAACTAGGAGATTTCAGGTCATCCGCAATGAGAGACAAAGTTAGGCCACAAGGGCTGCCAGTTCCTCAACCCTTTTAAAACTAAGTGTTCACTTACTGGGGGAGGGGTACAGGTGTGGGTGTGTGTCATAGCACCGTATGGAGGTCAGAGGACAAGCTAGAAAGTTGGTTCCCTCCTTCAATCATGTAGATTTTGAGTCTTGAATTCAGATCATCAAGCTTGGCGGCTACAGCACCCTAACCCACTGAACCGTCTCAGCAACCCCAGCTCCTCCACCACCGGGAAGCTTGGATTGGGGTGGTTGATTGGAGAGGCACATGAAGACGGGGTAACATGGCAGCCTGATTTATGGTCATAATAACCCCCCCCCCATAGAGGTCCTCCAAGGTTTCCTGATTACTTTGTACAATTCAGAAAGCTTCACTTGGAGCTGCTGTGGGATTGGCTCCATTCCTTCTTCCACTGCGTCCCACTCGCCTACTTAATCAGCTGCACCAGTGTTTGCCAACTTGATCACCAGAGACAGTGTTTCAGCTGCAGCAATTTCCTTTCCCTCCCATGAGTATGCCACAACCCTTCCTGCCACGGGGCACCGACTAGCACACTCCATCCTGCCTCCTGCATTCACCTTCCCATAGTTACCATCATCTCATTGTTCCAGTACCTCTTTAATGAGGTAATTAATTCCTTAGGCCTCTGATTACTCCATCTAAATATGTGAGTGAGTCAGGCTTCCCCCCTCCCTCCTCCTCCCTCCCTTCTTCCTTCTCTTCTTCTCTGCTAGTTTCATTGACAGTCTATACCCCTCTTTCTCTGACCTCGGGCAAAGACAACAGTCCCCTAAGAGAAGGGACAGGCTTGACTCATCATTGAGCCTGAGCCAGGAGAGGGGACAATAGGTACAACAGCTAGCCTATCAGATGGCAGCACCTAAGAACAGAGGCAGGTGCCCGGCAGTGATGGCACACACCTTTATTCCCAGCATTCAGGAGGCAGATGCAGTTGGATCTCCAACTATAGAGAGAATCCCAGAAAAACCCTGTCTTAAAAAAACAAAAACCAAACAAAAGAGGAGCAGAGGCTGGCATTCCCCCGAGGAACCCCGACAAGCTGCCACTTGCCATGCCCTCAGTGACCAAGGGTCTACATCTTTTCCCGTAAGCAAACCTCTCTTCCCAAAGCCAAGCCTACTCTCAGGTGGTAGATACCAACTTGGGACTTGGTACCAAGTGAGAATGTGAGGTCTGGATCCAGGGACCAGAAAAGCATCCCTGACTCATCAGATTCTTCCCACCACAAGAATTTAATTAAACTCCTCAACCTGCTAGGATCTGCTGTCAATAACCAGTGGTTCACCGCTGTTACTGCCAGTCCACTTCCTACAGACACCCCAAGAAAGGCAAGTCACACAG